GCCGTGTACCGGGGTGGGGTGGGGGGGTCCCGGGAGGGATGATTTTGGGGGGGGGGGGTCCCCAGGGCTCTCTCCTACCCCCCCCATGCCGCCCCCCAAGGCTGGACCCCACCTGTGACATCGCCGCGTTGCGACCCCCGGGCGGGGGCTGCCCGTTTCCCAGCAGAGGAGGGGGTCCGAGGGGGATTTTGGGGTGCTGTTGGAAATTTGGGGAGCGGTGGGGGGGGGAACAGCGGGAATGTGCGGGCACCGTCCCAGCCTGTCCCCACCCCGCTCCCGCAGGTGGCTGGATGGGAAGCGCAAAAGAAAGAGCAGCCAATGTTTGGTGAAGAGCAGCATGTCAGGTACAGGCACCCCGCGGCTCCCGCTGAACCCCCCCGGGCACCCCAAAAACCCTGCTGGGCACCCCCGGGTCACCCGGGCACCTCATGTGCTCGCCGGGCTCTGCAGCCATCCCGTGTCCTGGTGGCCACCCTGGGGGTCCCGAATCTTCGCCAGGGTCCCCTCGGCACCCCATGTGTCACCTGGGCCCCCCAAGATCTACGGACACCCCACGTCCCGCATGGGCACCCCAAGATTCCCGTGTCCGTGCACCCCAGTGTCGCACGGACACCCCATGTCTCCAGATTCCCCAGAGTCCCACAGACACCCCCTGTCCCCTGTGGACACCCCGGGAACTCCCATGTCATTCCCACATACGCCCCATGTCCCTGGTGGGCAGCCCGAGGTCCCCATGCGTCCCCACGCACCCCAGAGTCCCACCCATACCCCACTCGCGTGTGTCCCCCCCGCTCCCCGCATCCCAGCAGGGTCCCCCGGGGTCCCGGTCCCCCACGTCCCCGTCGGTGCCCCGTGGCTCGGGGCGGTGCTGTCGGGGCGGCAGCGCCCTGGGGTGGGCGATAAGGGGGGCCCCGCGGGCGCTGCCCCCCGCCCTGCCCCATTCCCCGGCGGGGAGCGGCCGGCGCCGGCGGGACCCGGCGGGGGGAGGCCGGGGGGAGCCCGGGCGTCCGGCTCCCGCCCATCCCCTGCGCCCGGCCCGCTCCCCGAGGGAGGGAACACCCGGGGACCCCCGCCTCCAGCACCTGCAGAGTGGGCTCGAGGGGTCCCCACGCCTGCGGTTGTGGGAGCACGGGCGGGTGCAGCGGTTCTGGGGTGCTGGGGACGCCCCCCGAATTATGGGTGCTCTCTGCAAGGGGTACCCAGACATCCAGCCCCCACCCCTCGGGGATTCGCACATCCTGCCCACCCCCCCACCAAAACACGAGGGTGGGCTCCTGGGGTGGCGGGCACGAGGGGTTCAGGGTGCTGGGGACCATCTCATGCGTCACGGATGATCCGTGCCTCAGTTTCCCTGAGCAGTTGGTGGTGGGGAGGCTGGGGGGATTCTGGTGGGGGGGTGGTCCCCGGGCTGCCAGGCAGGGGGACCCCGGACAACAGTGGGGACAGTGTGTCTTTGTGTGCCAGGGGGATGGGGACCCCCCCGCTGCCGGTGCCCGGCTGGATAATGAGATAATGGGGGCTTTATTGGTGCGGGGGGCTCAGGCACCCCCCACACACCCCCAGCATTAACCCTTCCCTTGCCAGGGCAGACAGTGGTGGGTGTAGACAGAGGGGAAACTGAGGCACAGAGAGGGGATGATGTACTGGGCATCCCTGGCATGGGGGGTGTGGGGAATCCCTGATGCTGTGTGTGCCAACGGTCTTTGATGTGGGGTCTGCAAGAGGGTCTTTGATTCAGGATTTCTGGGGGGGTCTCTGATGTGGGGTCTGTGGGAGGGTGACTGGTACAGGGTGCTCCAGGGGTCCCTGACTTGGGGCTCCCTGGGGTTACCCTGTCACGGAGCACTCCGAGAGCCACCGACCTGGGGTGCCGTGGGGGTCCCTGCCATTGGAATTTCTGTCATGGGGTGCTCTGGGGGTGTCTCTCATGGGAATCCCTGTCTTGGAGCACCCCATGAGTCCCTGCTGTGGGGGTCCCTGACTCGGGGGTCCCCGCAGGGTACATCCCTAGTTACCTGGACAAAGATGAACAGTGTGTGGTGTGCGGGGACAAGGCCACCGGCTACCACTACCGCTGCATCACCTGCGAGGGCTGCAAGGTGAGTTGGGGCAGGGGGGGTTTGGGGGGCTCAGGGGGTGCTCAGCAGGGCTCTCTGTGTCACCCCCTGCACCCTCCCCAGGGATTTTTCCGTCGGACCATCCAGAAGAACTTGCACCCCACCTACTCCTGCAAATACGATGGGTGCTGCGTCATCGACAAGATCACCCGCAACCAGTGCCAGCTCTGCCGCTTCAAGAAGTGCATCTCCGTGGGCATGGCCATGGACTGTGAGTTGGGGGGCTCGGCCGGTGGGGCAGGTTGGGGTCCCAGCACTCTGGGGCACATTGGGGTACCCAGATCAGCTGCAGGACCAGGCTGGGCTCTCAGGTGCTGTGATGCAGCAGCGGGGTGGGATGCATGAATGGGGGGTCCCGGCTGACTGGGGGGATCCCAGATGTTAGTGTGGGGTTTTTGGGAGGTGGGTTGGGGTCCTGGTGCTACGGGGTGAGTTGGGGCACCTGGAGCAGCCCCAGGAGGAGGCTGGTGGGTCACTGAGGGGTGCTGTGCTGCAGCTGTGGGATGCATGAATGGGGGGTCCTAGCTGACTGGGGGGATCCCAGATGTTAGTGGGAGGTTTTTGGGAGGTGGGTTGGGGTCCTGGTGCTATGGGGTGTCTGGAGCAGCCCCAGGAGGAGGCTGGGGGGTCACTGAGGGGTGCTGTGCTGCAGCTGTGGGATGCTTGGATGGGGGGGATCCCGGCTGATGCTGGGGGTCCCGGCAGTGGTGCTGGATGACTCCAAGCGGGTAGCCAAGCGAAAGCTGATCGAGGAGAACCGGGAGCGGCGGCGGAAGGAGGAGATGATCAAATCCCTGCAGCACCGCCCCAACCCCAGCGCCGAGGAGTGGGAGCTGATCCACGTCGTGACAGAAGCCCACCGCAGCACCAATGCCCAGGGCAGCCACTGGAAGCAGAAGCGGAAATTCCTGGTGAGGGGATGCAGGGGAGGGATTCTGTCACCACTTTGGCTCCCCCACCCTGCCCCCAGCCCCAGCTGGGATCTGCTGGGCTCTCGCACACTCAGCACACACGTGGTGGCAGCGGCAGGGTTTGGGATGTCACCGGTGTCCTTGGGCAGTCGAGGGGGGTTGGGACATTGCTCAGTGTCCTTGAGCTGGTCACCCCCGAAGGGTTCAGGGGTGAGCAGTGACCGAAGGGGACAGCTGTGCCCGCGGGTGGCCCTGGCCCTGCCACTGGCCCTGTCACTGTCCCTGTCATGCAGCTCCCTCTCCTGGCTGCTGCACCGGCTCTGCCACCGCTGTTCCCGGTGACACGGGGGCCCAGAGGGGAGACAGGGTCCATCACTGCCCCACAGGGTCCCAGGGAAGGGGAACGGGGTCACACTGCACCCCCAACACCACTGCCCACCATGGGGGTCCCAGAGGGGGGACACGGTCACACTGCACCCCCTAACACCACTGTGGGGGCCACAGGTTGGACATGGTCACACCACACTCCCCAGTGCCACCAGGGCGGGACATGGTCACACCACACATCCAACAGCAATGCCCAGCATGGGGGTCCCAGAGGGTGACACAGTCCCACTGCACCCCCCAAACCCCACTGTTCACCGTGGGGGACACGGTCACACCACACCCCACAATGCCCCATCTGCTGGGGGGTCCCAGGGGTGACACGGTCACACCACACCCCACAATGCCACCATGGTGGTCTCAGGGGACATATGGTGACATCACCGTGTCCCCCACAGCCTGAGGACATCGGCCAGTCCCCTATGGCCTCCATGCCCGACGGGGACAAAGTCGACCTGGAGGCGTTCAGTGAGTTTACAAAAATCATCACCCCGGCCATCACCCGCGTGGTCGACTTTGCCAAAAAACTGCCCATGTTTTCAGAGGTAACGGCGGGCTGGGGACTTTGGGAGGTCTGGGGTGGTCTGCCCAGGGTCTGAATCACACCAAACCCCCCCCCCGAAACTGCCCCCAAAGCTGCCTTGCGAGGACCAGATCATCCTGCTGAAGGGGTGCTGCATGGAGATCATGTCGCTGCGGGCGGCCGTGCGCTACGACCCCGAGAGCGAGACGCTGACGCTGAGCGGGGAGATGGCGGTGAAACGCGAGCAGCTCAAGAACGGCGGCCTCGGCGTCGTCTCCGATGCCATCTTCGACCTGGGCAAGTCCCTCTCTGCCTTCAACCTGGATGACACCGAGGTGGCCCTGCTCCAGGCTGTGCTGCTCATGTCCTCAGGTAATGGTGATGGGTGGAATGGGGTGGGCGGAGTATGTCGAAGCAGATGCCCGTTGGGTGGGCATCCCAATGTTCGGAGTTCTCAGTGCCCTGGGGAGGCATTAGGTGGGCACCCTGATGGTGGCAGAGATCCCCAGCAGCTTCAGGGGGAATTGGGTGGGCACCCCCATGCCCAGAGGCTGTGCATGGGGATTGTTGTGTTGGCACCCCCTTGCCCACAACCCCCAGCATTTGGAGGGGCATTGGGTGGGCACCCCAATGCCCAAAGTCCTCATTGTGCTGGGGGTGTGTTGGGTGGGCACCCCAATGCCAGAGCCCCCAGCATCAGGTGGGCACCCATCCCGATGCCCAGAGTCCTCATTAGCCAGGGGGGTGTTGGATGGGCACTCTGATGCCAGAGTCCCCCAACATCTTCAGGGTGTGTTGGGTGGGAAATCATGTCGCCCTGGATTTTGGGTGGATTTGGGGTGTGCAATCCCAATTCACAGAGCTTCAGTCAGCTCTGGGAGGGGTCCCAGGAGCAGGAGGTGGGCACCCCAGTCCCTGGTACCCAGGAGCACAGGCTGAGCCTCTTGGTCCCCTGGGGACCCCCGCCAGGCTGACGTGGGTCTGTGGGGTGGGAACCCCAACAATCAGGGGGTGCATGGGACACTCAGCCCTGTGAGAGGGAGAATCCCTGCAGATGCTGGACTGGGAGAGGGCCTCTTCCATGGGCAGAGAATACCAGGACGACAACGAGGGGTTCAAACTAAAAAAAGGGAGATTGTGATTATTGGGAAAAAATTCCTCTCTGTGAGGGTGGTGAGGCCCTGGCACAGGGAAGTGCCCAAGGCCAGGCTGGAAGGGGCTTGGAGCACCCTGGGGCAGTGGAAGGTGACCCTGCCCATGGCAGGGGTGGGACTGGATGAGCTTGAACATCCCTTCCCACACAAACAGAGGATCCCACAATCCCCTGACGATTCCCTGCTTGTTCCTGCAGACCGGACGGGGCTGATCTGCGTGGAGAAGATCGAGAAGTGCCAGGAGACCTATCTGCTGGCCTTTGAGCACTACATCAACTACCGCAAACACAACATTCCCCACTTCTGGCCCAAGCTGCTGATGAAGGTGACGGATCTGCGGATGATCGGCGCCTGCCACGCCAGCCGCTTCCTGCACATGAAGGTGGAGTGTCCCACCGAGCTCTTCCCACCCCTCTTCCTCGAGGTCTTCGAGGACCAGGAGGTGTAGGGCCGACCCCCCCCCCCCACCCTGTGCCCCCCCAACCCCACTCTGGCCCCCCCAAATCTTTCTCGTCCCCCTGTAAGGACAAGGGGATGCTGCGCCCAGGGTGGGGGTCCTGCTGTGCCCCCCAACAGCCACCCCCCCCCCCCCCCCCCACCGCCCCAGGACTTGACGAATTTTGTTTGTTTGCACAGGGAAGGGCCCCGACGGTCGAGCGTTCCCTTTATTGTCCTTCTCTTCGTAGATTATTATTTTTTAAGCATTTATTTCCCTCCCTGAGAGGCTAAAATATTAAACTAACTGCACTTTGGAAGGAGGAGGAGGAGGAGGAGGAAGAGCAGGGAGGAGAGGAGGGGGCTCTGGGCTGCACAGGGAGAGGCTGCCCCGGCTGGGGGGCCATGGCCATATGCACTTTTGGCCGGGCAGCAATTTGGGGGGCTGGGGTGGGGGCCAGGACTCCCCTCCATAGCAGGGCAGGGGCTGGGACCCCCATAGTGGGGTGGGGGCCAGGACCCCCCCCACAGCAGGGCGGGGGCACAGGGGGGGCACAGCGGTGGGGACGGGGACCCCAGCCCGTCGGGGTGCAGGGCTGGTGGGGCCCCCCCCCCAGCCCACTGGGTCTGCCCCGGCTGGGGTGACCCCCCCTGTGTCCCCCCTTTATCCCCACATTTGGGGCCAGAATTGGGGTTTTGGGGGTTCTTCTGTCTTTTTTGGGCTGAGACGAGACAATTTTGTGCCAAGCGCCGCGGATGGTGGGCGCTGCAGGACACTGGGGGGGGGACCACTCCCCCCCCAAACCCCCCAACTTTTCCGTTGTCCTTTTTTTGTTGTTTTTCCCCTTGTCCTCGTGGGTTTTGTCGTGTCCGTCAGGAGTTGCAAAGGCCCCGGAGGCGCCGGCGGGGGGGCGGTGGGTGCCCCCCCGGGACCCCCAAATGCACTACTGCCCCAGCCCCCCGGCAGCAGCACTTTGGGGGGGCTGCACCCCCCAACCGCCCCCCCAATGCTCCCGGGGGGACAGGGCTGAGGCGGGGGCTGGCAGGGGGAATCCCACAGGGGGCTTGAGGTGGGGTGGGGGGGGGCACAGCTGCAAGGGGGCACCCGGGAATGGTTTTATCACCTTTTTACCCCCCCCCAAATTTAGGTTTGTGAATTTTTTCTTACCTCAGGCGGAGGCCGAGGGGGGGTGCGGGCCGGGGGGGGGCCGGCAAGGCAGGCCGGGCCCACCTAAGCTAATATATATATATATATATATATAAATATATATAAAATATATAATTTTTGTAATTAAAAAAAAAAATCTTTTTACGGGTCGTTTAAAAGCAGAAAATCCCAACACCAGACACGTCCCCCCCCACACAGGCACAGGGGGCCGGGCTGGGCTCCCCCCACACCCCAGACTCCCCCCAGCCATGGGGGTTGTGTCGGGGGGCCCCGCCAGACCCCTTGCAGCTGGGTTGGGGGGCACAGCGGGGCTGCGGCACCCCGGGGTGCCCTGGGTGGGGGCGCCCACCCCCAGTCACAAGTACCAGCGCTGGATTTGACCTTGGTGCAAAATGTCTTAAACCCCCACCCAGGGGCCTGGCTCGGGGGGGCCTGGCTCGGGGGTCCCCGGTTTGGGGGTCCCCGGTTTGGGGGTGCCGGCAGCACCGGCTGCGGGCAGTGCTATAGGAGCCGAACGCTAACGCCCGCACTGGGGGGGCGCAGGTTTGGGGGTTCGCCCCCCACCCCTGGCAGCACCGGTCCCAGCGCGTGCCTTCGGGCCACGGGCGAGGCCGTGGCACCCGGGTGATGCCCCCAACGCCCGGTGCTGCCGTGCCATGTTGCTGCCACGGCCACGCGTGTTGGTGCCGCGGCCACGCGCGTGGGCATCACGCCAGCGCCGTGGCTGTGCCGTGTCGGTGACAGAGCGAGGCACGCTGGCGCGACGCCGCTGCCACGGCCACGCGTGTTGGTGCCGTGGCCGTGCCGTGTCGGTGCTGTGGCAACTCCTGTTGGTGCAATGACGGCGCCGTGCCGGTGCCGTGTCCCCGTGCTGCCCGCGTGTCCCCGCACACGCTCCGTGTGACACCGCGCGCTCCCGTCGCGACACGGCAGCGCCGTCGCGGGACGTGTCTTAATCAGCCCCCGTGACCCCCGCCCCGAGCGGCCACACGGGGCCCTGGGGCAGCTTGTCCCGGGGTGGGGGGCTCACCACAGCCCCCCCCACACCCGCTGCCCCCCGCACGCCCCCCACCCTCTAATTCCCCCCACGCCCCCCCCCCGGGCCGTCCCCGCGTCTCCGTCTCGCGTCGCCATCGCACGTCCAGCATCCAGCGTCGGTCCCGGGGGGCCACACCGGTGCCCCCCACCCTTGCGCCACCTCCCCCGGGCCACCCCCGCCCCGCGTCCCCCTCCCCGTCCCCGTGCCCCCCGTCCCCCCCCAAGCACATACCTCATGGCTCCCGGAGCTGCCCCTGCCCGCGGGCGTCGAGCCCGGCCAGCACCTGGCCCAGCACAGCCCGGCCCGGCTCGGCTCGGCGCGCCCCACGCGGGGTCCCCCACTATGCAGGGTGCTGAGGGGGGTGGGGTGGGGGGGGGGTCGCGGCCGGCGTCGCTGAATGTAGGGGCGCGGGCCGGGGGGGCCGTGGAGCCCCCGTGACAATCACAGTCTGTGACGTGCGATTTTAAACCCTTTTGTGTTTTGGTCAGGATTTTAAAGAAAGATATTTTTATGGTAATTGTTGCTGGTCTATTTTACTATATATTTATGTAATAAATATATGATGAAAAAAAACCAACCAACCAAACCCCCCCACCCCTCGACCCCCCCACCCCTGCCCCCCATTCTAGACCCACCCCCCCCCAGCACGGCTGGATCCGGCCTCTGCGTCCCACCCCGGCCGCCAGAATGGGGGTGTCGGGGCGAAGGGACCCCCCGGCGCTGCCAGCGGTGCCGTGGGGGTGGTGCCCGATTTGGGGTGGGGTGGGGGTGGGGGTCTCCCAGCATCCTGGCGCCCACCTTGGGGTGAATCCCTGCGAGTCCGACGGGCGCCACGGGGTCGGTGGTGCCCCGGGGGAGGGGGAAGTCTGTGTGTCCCCCCGCTGTGGTGTATGTACAGGGGTGCGCGGGGTGGGGGTCTGGGGGGCACTACTGGGCGTCGATGCGGAAGGAGAGCAGCTTCTCGGAGTGGAGGTTGTTGAGGGTGCGCAGGTCCGGCAGCTTCAGCAGCAGTTTGGTGAAGCGCGAGGTCTCGGCCGGGCGCGTCTTCAGCACCAGGGCGCGCAGGGCCCGCAGCAGCGTCTCCTGCAGCTGCTCCACTGATGCCGTGTCCTCCATGCCCGAGCGGTCTGTGGAGGAAAAGGGGGTCAGAGGCAGGGGAGGAGACACCCCAGTTCAACCCCTAAACCCCCTAATCCCACTCCAGTGTCACCCTGATCCCAGCACTGAACCCCCGATACTCCCCTGGCATCACCTCAATGCCACCCAAGTCACCCCAATACCATCCCTGAATGCCCCAAACACCCCACTAACCCCCTGATTCCAGCCCCAAACCCCTTGATTCTTTTCCAAACTCCTCAATCTCCCCCCAAAACTCCCCAAATCCTCCCATGCCCACCTGCCGAGACGAGGACGACGGCGGTGAAGAGCCCCAGCTCCTCATCACTGAGCTCAAGGGCGCTGAGCTTCTCGCTGAAGTCGAACATGGCCCCGAGCAGGTCTCCCATGCCCATGGCCCACAGCTCCTCCAGCCCGTACCGCGTGCGGCTCATGAACGTCACCGTCTGCTCCTTCACGTCGAACAGCGACGCAAAGCGAACCATCAGCACCTGTGGGCAGGGGGCAGGACGTGGGACACCAGACAATGCCAGGGGTGCCATCGGTCTCTATGCCACAGCTCCCAAATGTGGGGCACTGCCATGCCATGGTGCACCAGACAATGCCAGGAGCATTGTGCCGTGCCATGGGCTCTGTGATCTATATTGTGACCACCAAATGTGGGGTACCAGGGGCATTATGCTGTGCCATGGGTTCTGTGATCCATATTGTGACCACCAAATGTGGGGTACTGGGGCACTGTGCTGTGCCATGGGTTCTGTGATCCATATTGTG